GGCTGCCACAAGCCCTTTCCCTGCTTCCTCTGTGGCGTGCAATTAAAAAGCTCTCCACGCAAAACACCGTCCCCGCGAAGAACTCCTTCACTGTTTTGTCCTCTATCGGCGTTCCTCTATTTTCCACGCGGTCCCTTTGCCGCGCTTTCCCTCGCACTTCCGCTCCGCTTCCGGAAACGCGTGTTACCAGCGCGAATACGTGTCGCGTGAATTGCCACGAAAGTGCCGTTGAAAAAGATTCCAGGGAAATTTCGACGGTACGTTTGCACGAAAATGTGAGATTTTAGACTCGTATTTGTGCAATTTTTAATTGGTAATTCTTGTTTGTTCTGGTGGAATGAAACTGTAAAGGTAATTACGGAGAAAGCAATTAATCGGCTGTTTTGAACTGGTCGCATTGTAACGAAACATGCACACAAGCTCACGAAGTTGCAACTTATTTTGCATATACTATACTATATTATATTGTATAATATACCTGGTATATGGAATGGAAATTTTATATTTTACGAAAAATATTTCAGAAGAATGAGAAAGTTGTTTAAACGTCATTATGTAGCCGTCTATAGCGTTAGTTGTATGTTTAAGACAACTAGTCATACTTATGCCAATTTTCTGTTACGTTTGTTTGTAACAAATTTATAACTCGTAAATATAATAGATTTGCAGATCGATTTCAAGCTTTATCGTTATGATCGTAACGATCGTGCTAATGAAATTTCAAAAAGTTTTGTATAAACGTAATATATTTGTAAAAATATTCTATGATCAACGTTCGAACGTTTTCGCGAACCAATATAAACGACTCTTTTATCTCGGAAAATTACAGTAGAATTTGGAGAAAACAAAAATTTTGTTTCGAAAAGATTTATTTATGAAGTAGTACTTTGCTTTTCCGTGTTTCGTATTCCATTTATTTTCATATTATTAGTGCCATGGCGATGTAATTTATATAAATTGCGACGAACGAGTTGGGAAAGATCGCAGGAAAATATCAGCGATATTATTTTTTACGGAAGTCTGAATTTTGCCCGAATTGAAATTTAAATAACGCAAAATTAATCATTTTTCTTGCGAAAATCTGTATTCTTGCGGTATGGAAATTGCAGAGGTAATTACGCCGGCAGCTATTAAAAGGCAATTCCGAACTAATTGGATCGTTGACAATAAACGAACAGTACATAAATTTTGAAGCACGATGAAAATGAATATTGCCAGATTGTCAAATACTGTTTCGTCCAATTCGAATGCTATTCGTTCGTTTCGCCGCTGACTGATAACGTTGAATAACAGAATGCTAGTATCGCTGGAATAAAATGAAATTTACTAAATTTTGACTAATTTTACACGCTTGTAAAATCACCTATTTCGCGGCCAGCAACAACCTAACAACTCCATTACATTACTCTGAACCAGCTTTACATACCCAATCAAGCAACCTCCTCTGAAAATCACTCCGTTTGATCAATCGAGAGTCAATATTCGCTGTCGACGTTAACTTGTCGGCGAACGCAGAATTGCTACGCACACGGTGGAGAACATATCAACGAACATACATCCCAGAACGAGAACGTAGCTTAGTCTGGTGCTGGTCCGTTAGTGGCCAGCTTAAATGACATTCGAAGCTGAAGGCTAACTAATCCAAGTTTTAGCCTGCACACGTAGAAGCAACCTGCAAAGTGGAAACTCAAGATGAAGAGAGAGAGAGAGAGAGAGAGTACGGCTTCCTATGGTCGAAAGCAAGCGGGCCAGGTCTACGAACATCGAACAAAATTGCACCTGAGTAATTGACTGGGAGCACTTAAGGTACGAGCCACAGTGCCCGTCGAACCCGTGAAGGTGTGACGTGGTCGATTATCGAGCGCACCTGCTACGCTTCGATCGATCTGCTTCCGACCAATCCTTCTCTTCCTCTTCCCGTCCTTGTCGTCGGGAGTTTCAAACTGCTTTAAATTTCCTACGAAAATGTTTATTGGATCACCGCGTCGAAAGTGTCGGACGATGAGTAACACTCGTCCTAGAGTTTAGATCTACTTAGGGCGATGGGATTAATCGAAAGGACTCTTCCAACTACTTCGTATTTCCGAGAAAGTGAATTTAGTAGCCAATTTTATCGAATATCGCGTGGAGTGATACAAGAAGAGCCGAAGAAGATACGTGTTCGGAGGGTTGGAAGGGCGGAACAGCGTTTGGATCGCGTGTGTTTCAAATGGTCGTGCGAACGAGGAAGAGTACGGTTGACCAGCATTTTAGGTAGATCTATTTTTATCTATTTGTATAAGAATCTTTTTTGTTAATACAAGGAAGAGCACCGCGACTTGTTAAAAAGTGTAACCAGAGTTGCTCGAGTATTTAGCCGTATCGAGTTTTGCGTCGATTGTAATCGCTGTACGTCCACTAACATTCGTCGCCGTGTTATTTGTTATAATAAATACTTTCCATATATGTATATATATATAATCGTATATTTCAAGAGTATAAATATAGATAGGTGTAGTAACTAAGAACTAGATGAATGAACGGTGAGCAGAAGTGCAAGAATGGACGTAAAAAGTGCCTTCTATTATACGCACAAATATTTATTCAACGTTACATTAAACGTATTTACGAATATCTACATCTATCTACTATGATGAAATTGATAATGCGAAGAACAGCCTTGACTATTTATAACATCTCACATCGAGTGTACTATCTATGACTAAAGTCCATGATAAAATCAAAATCTCTGTATATCCTGGTAAAAATCATCGAACAAAAGTAGGTTAAAACCGTTTGAAAAATATTCTCTTTAAAAGCATCCATCAGATTTTGCGTTGAAATTATTCCAGCATAAATGAGATTCGTCTTAAAATCTAGATCGAATTATAATTATAAAATTAATCACAGAATGTCTTTCCGCCTGTTCTGGATTAAGGTTTTCGCTCTGCGTATTCTTTTCTCTTTCCCTCGTATCCTTTTAATTCCGTAGTTCTCTTGGCTCGGCCACGATCGTATCTTTCCGCGAAATGAAATTTTTCGCTCGATGTTAATCGTCGGTCGAGCAGAGCTGATCCTCGATATCTGGCGCGAGAAGTTTCGCGCGCTTTTTACCCCTCGACTTTTACTCGGCCAGTACGTGGCCCGATTTAACGAGAGCCGCAACGCACGAGCGAAGCAATCCTCCCTCGACAATTTCGAGGATACGCCGTGAAACTTGCGAGTATTACGTGAATCGTTGGGAAGAAGTTGGAAAAACGTAGACGAAGTTGGCTGTTCGAAATTGCCTCGTGATTATCGCGAAACGAAAAGGTAGATATCAATTTGTTTGAACCAATAGCAGCAAAACTGATTGACTTCAAGTAACATTAAATATCTGTAGCAATAGTTACAGGTTGTTTTGACGATACATAACGTAATTTTGAGAATAGTTATTGTTAGAATTTAATCTCGGAATTAGGATTAATAATCTGTGGAAGACACAATGTTTGTGTTGAAACGACATAATGTGATATTTGTTGAACAATTATTACAGGAAATATAAGTGTGTCGTGAAATGTAGACAGTTGGCTAGTTAGTCTCAGACTGACTGGCTTAGTGACCCATGGCCCTTGAAAAGATTTTGAACCCCTCTCTCTCTCTATGCAGTAATGAGTGTGACCTGTGTGGGTGTCTGCGTGGCGTCACATGTGCCACGGAACCTTCTAGTAGCTTCTCGACGTGCGCAATGTTCCATCTATATCCTTGTGCTCCTTCCGCCGAATTCTCGAAAGGGACCTACGGAATCCAAGTATGGGGAACAGCAAGTAACTCCAACATTGAAATACTTCAACGCTTCCAATCGAAAACGCTAAGGTCCCTGATTGATGCACCTTGGTATGTTACCAACGAAACAATACACCGCGACCTCAAGATACCCACAGTCAAAGAGGAAATAGCAAAATATAGCGACAGATATAGCAAAAGAGTGAACAAACACCGAAACCTCCTAATCACTGGACTACTTGATACGACGGACCAGATTCGCAGGCTGAAGAGACACTACCAGCTAGACCTAAACGACAGATTCAACTAGTTATTTAAATTAAGTAACATCTACTTATTTACAATACTTACATACAAATTATACTTATCTATAACAAGTATTAACTTATTATAAATAATTAGCCATGTTACCGCGCCACGCCAGAAAAATTACTGAAAATTCACAACGCGAGGATTGATTGTAATTTTAATAAATAATAAAAAAAAAGAAAGAATTCTCGAAAGAGCATGCACGCGCTAGTCGCTGCGGTACATCTCACGAACGCACGCTAATGGGGATATCGCTGGGCAACGAAGGAAAGAATCCGTTCGATCAATCACTTCGTCTGTATGCGATTAATATCGTTGTATTCAACAGTTATAACACATAACGACGCAAATTATTCATTTATTTCGCTTGATCATTATTTATTATATACCTAGCTCTGTATAACTTTGTCGTGGTCTTTGAATTATATTCAATTTCGCTCTGGTTTCGACGAATGATTTCAGGGCGAGTTTTAATATGAAATAAAAAGAAGCAGATTTTTTATACAACCAATAGATCGTTCTTTCATCTTTTCGACAAACTTATAAAATTTCTTAACGGCAAAAGAACGCAATTGAATTTAAATTTGCATATATATGCGGAGACATCGTGTATAGTAATTTACAATATTTTAATCTCATTGAAATCTTTACATTTGATTTTGTGCCAGGCAGATATTTTTATAACAATGCGAATGTTTCGTGAATGCGAATGAAACGGATCGTTAAGAACAGAGAATACGAACATTTTCGTGCTCCTTTTCTTACCGAGAAATTAATCGTATCGTTTAAACAAATACCGACAGTTATACCGCCACTATTGCGAAATAAAGAAGCGACGTATCTGGCTGATTCATGCGAAAACTTCAAAATTCCCGCAAGCTACTCGATGCTCGTTCGAGGCACAAATCAAATGGAACAATGGAATAGCACGAGAAGTTTACTCCGAGCCATGGATTACTTTTTCAAAACGATATTTTACGGATTAACCGACTGTAAAATAGATATTAAAACTTCTTTTAATTAACCTTTCAATTTAAACTTTTATTCGACGTTACGAATATGAATTAAATTTATTATAATTCAAGACTTTCGTTCCAACCTTTAACTTCAACATCATCAAGTTTTTGCGTTTCATTTCCAAGCAACTTGTCCACGATTTACGCTCATCCTCTTCGTCTATGAAAAATGTACGAATACTTTTAGAACCTTGGATTTAAATTCCAAGTTGATTTATCGCGTACGTATCTTTCACGATTTTTCGCTACATGTACCACTGTACGGAACATTTTCATTCCTACGCGTTTTCGGCGACTATACGGTGCAGACTGGTCGACTGTTTCTATTTTGACATCGTTTCAACGTCTCCTACTCGCACATTTTTGACCCTAGTCCCCCTTTGGTCATTCCTGTCGCTCCCTTTTGACACAGCGTGCATTTTTCCCGAATATTTCGCAATATTTTTGGTCGCTTACACGTCGTTAAAAAACTGCCAACGGCCAGCCGAATCGCGATTAATGTTCTAACAGTTCGGATAAACGTATGCGCATCAGTTATTTTATAAAAAATACCAGCGAAACGTGAATGACGAATCCGATCTACGACCAATTAAAAGAACATAAAGCTTCGTCCTTCTTGTTACCGACAGCAGCAATTTTTATGTTTGAAAAAATATGTTCAAAAATTGATAGAAAGAGCCCACGCATTTTCATATAATAAAATACTTTACAAAACTGTGGGTACAGATCGCGGTGTTATTGCCAGAAATAAAATTAAATTACCAAAATTAAAATTCGATATGTTAATCTAGCTTTTTCAAGTAAAATAATTGAAATAATTATTTCGTAAAAATTAAAACGGCGTAACTTCGCTGCTCTTTTTACCGATAACGACGATTTTAATCTTTCAAAGATATATTTAAAAATTGCTTGTAGGTATCCGTACGTATACGTAGGAAATATTTTAAAGAATCGTAGAAACGGATCGCGATATTATCAACAAAGATAGTTAAATTAAAATTAATTGTCGTACTTGAACAAATAGCGATAAAAATAGTTGAATCGATAACGACTTAGTTTCGAGATAGGACAATTAAAATGATAGAAGTTACAACTTGAAGACAAAACGAGGAATGAAATGTTTGTAAGAATCTTGTTTCGCGAGTTTTACTATTTATGCGCGCTGGTTTGTGAAACATCCGGTATATTTAAATTATCGAAAGCTGCAGCATCCTAAAGCTCGTAAACGACGCGGCGCGACACGCTCCTCTCTATCTCTCTCCTCCTGTAGACGCTTGTACACGTCGTCCTCGCTTATATGATTTAATTACGCGCCAGTAAATTGCTATAAATTGCTGCCCAAACAAATTGCTGTCATCCGTGAAGGAGCAACGATCGTTCCGCAAGGAATCTATTCCGTTAAAACGTAATCACTGCTCCAACGATAAAATAATCATCCCGTTCGCCTTAAGACAACTTATTTCGGTAAAATATGCATGAGAGGATAATTTAAAAAGTATGAATTTAGGAGGATCCAGAAAATATCTAAATTATAGTCGTTGACTATAATTTAAGATATTTAAGAAATTACGCATAATTATACGTGGTACGTTAACCGCCGAGTTAATTAAGAGCTACAAATATTTGTAACTTTTTTGCTTACGAGAAAGACGAGAGATTGCATTTCCTATAAGTTACAACCGATGGAAAACTATCGGCATTAACGAAGCAGCACATAACGTGATAACTGAGAATGTGTGTAATCTATACAGGCGAATTTACAGGAAAATCTGTTGGCTAGATGATACATTTACACTGTACATGTGAATGTGTGTGTAAGCATTAGAGGGCGTCCAGGTCTTAGTGGAGACGAAAGACTGTTGCCAGATGTTAGAAGTTCTCAACGCGAGAATTGATTGTAATTTCAACAAATAAATAAAAAAAAAAAAAAGAAAAAAGAAAAGATGTTAGAAGAATCTGGAAGAGTCGGTTGAGAACAAGCGTGCGTGCAAGAAGGTTATCGAGGTCTTCAGAGTGTAAGATATATATATAGCTGTTGTGTGTAAAATAAAGTAAACGATTTGTATTTCCGAACCCTTTCTTTACCTTAACAAAATCCATAATTACATATTTCACGATAAAAATGAAAGAAAATTAATCGATAATGTAACAGGATCGAATACACCAGCAAATGTTCGCAAAGTCCGGCTACTATCTGCACTCAAACTACCAAATTCTACGTATCCATCTCCTTCTGCCTGTTGTACTCGTTCAAATTTAAAGAACTTGCTTAATCTATATAGAACACCTCTTCCATGGATTAGAGGAGCTTAAGTGCCATTAACATGTTCTGTTGAACAACTTGAACATTTTGAACCAGCGTATTCGCATTTGGAATTGGTATCTCCATATATCCCTTGGCCAAAAAACTTATAAAAACACTTATTAGACAGACACATACAAGAGCCAAAATTGCAACACTAGTTTTTGCAAACATTGCAGCTCCTATTAGACGTACTACTAAATTGGCAGTATTTAATATAGAAAAATATAAAAATTAAGGCACTGAACATCGATAATGTAATGTAGGACTGATGAAAGAAAACTAATAATAATTTTCTATATATTATCTAAACGAACAAACTTTATTCGAATCTGCTTACGTAGTCAAACTCGTTGTCGAAAGAACGCAAGATCTTGAGAAGCTTGAAGGTAATTTTCGCTCCTCCGCCAAAACTGTCGATAAGGAAAAATGTCTGACAAGTGACACGTATCGTAACGTTGATTTAGACGGTCCTCTGTAAGTAAAACGCTCAATTATATTTCTGGAATACTTTGAACGGGCTCATCTGTCGCTCGAGTTCTTTCTTCCCAGTTTCATGTACGCGAAAATATCAAGACAGTCTCGTTAAATTATTTCTCACTGGCCAGGTCTCCACTAGATCTTCCTTGATCGTTATTCTTCCCACTTTCCATCTCGCCCTTTTCTCTGTAGCTCTCGCCGCTCCCAAACCCGTCCTTCCCTTTTTCATTTCTCATTTTCATCATTCTTTATAACTAACAAGCTTCCAGCTGGTCCTTTTGAATTTTGATTTCTTTTCATGCAAAATTCTCTTTTCCCTCCCGCTTCTGCCCTGCTCCATCGCTTTTTCTCGGTCCATCCTGCCGTCGTTCACACGCGATTCCCTGTGCCGGTTTCTCCGTTGTCCTTTCGCCGTCTCAACCCCGACTCCTCGACATCCGCCTCTCGGCACGGTCTCTTTGTCTTCCTCTTTGCACGGTCGCAGCCGCGATTACGTTTGTTCGCGGTGGCCCGCGAAATTTTACCAAAGCTCCCTCTCTACGTAGCCGTGGCCTGGCCATTTTCAGCACTGCCACCCTCGAATAATACGCTGTTTCGGTGAACTCGTCGTTGTTAAATCGTCGGAGAGAAAACGTTCGCAAGTAGGAAAGTCAGAGGTGGAATCGTCTGGTAAACGAGTCGATGCTTGAGATCACGCGAGACGCTTGTAATCAAACGTGTAATCGACGCTTTTATCGCTGAGATTCGTCAAAAAATTGCCTACTTTATTTTGTCTTTCATTACCGTCGTTATATTTTTATCTCTTTATCGCGTTTTATGTCTTTGTTGCACGAACAGTCACGGCACGATCTTACGGTGAAATTTTCGGGGACCACGGGTTTTCATTCGAAGAGAAAAGAATTATAAACGTTGGTAATTTCGCTCGATACGAGGCGATTCGGGAAGCGTTTCTCGTATTATCAATGTTGCTGCAGTGTGGACTAGATTAGTGGACTAGAAGAAACGAATGTCCATAGTCGTTTGTTGAAACGTAAATTGGAATTAATCGAATCGTACGAACGTTGGAAGCAACTATGGTAAGTCATAGATGACAATTGTAATTTATTAAACAAATTTTCTCTTTCTATCTTCTTTAAATCGATCGGCATGTTGAAGATCCTTCCGTAGAGATTCTTCGTTGTTTCCTTAGGAAACTGTATCCCTGTTTTGTCGTCTGGAGCAAATAATTTTACCTTTTGCTTCGAAATTTTGAATTTTATACAGAATATTGTACATCAGATACGAATTTTATGACTCGTTAACCAGGTCCTTAGCCCTTTCGCTTATAGGCGGCGACCGCGCGACGACTCCTGCTTCCGGCACCCCATATATCCCCATTTTCTGTTGATTTTATTGACATATTGGATTAATCACTTCTTAAAGTTATTTATTGTTGGAACAACGTCAAAACCTTTCACGCAATATATTTCAAACATCCAAACGATCGTATACTGTTTCATGCTAAAAAACCTACTAAGTCCATTGACAGTGAAACGATATTTTATATACGATTCTTAGAAGAATTGTTGTTATTTAAGATTTAGAAAAACGTATGTACAGCAACCACGCACACTGTGGACCAACCAACACACGCGTACTTTGGTGGGCTGGACTGCCGAAGCGAAAGGGTTAAAAATCTTAAAAACTTTCAAAATTGAAAGTACTAGCTACATTGGTTGTAGGAAGCACCAAGCATATTATATCTCAATTTATTTATTACAGTTATAACTTGGAATAATATAGCATCGTCCGCTGATAAGGAATATCGATATTAAGAGATAAATTATAGATTATAAATCGATCAATTTCTGCGATATAAAAATCTAAAACGTTAAATAATTTTTTTTTAATTTAATTTTACTATAAATTTTAATTAATGATTGGTATATATGAAAACTGTATCTCGTAGAAGATACTCTTCGAAGAACAGGATTTCAGAAAAGTACAAAAGTATTTTGAATCGATATCGATCGATAATTAAAACGATTCAGTACGGAATATTTAATTCCATAGCGCCTTAACGAATCGATTCATGTAGACAGAACCTGGATAAGAGTGTTCTTTTTCGCGAATCGAATCAACTCGCCTCAACGTTTCCTAACTTTCAAGAATCCCTCTTAGCTTTCGAGCTAGGAAGACTCTACCCTCGGAGAAGGTAATTAGCGAGTCGACGATCGTCAGTGTAACAGAGCGAACTGTGCCAAGTCGATTTTTCTACGGGCATTCAGGAACGTGGAACGTTGAAAGACGAGCCTCGAAACTTCGTAAGAATTGCCTCGTTTGTTCCCTGTTCGAAATATACTTTTCAATTATGGCGTATCAGCAAAACAGGTGCAATTTCGGTTATGCTTGCATAACATAATATAATAATATGCTATATTACTTGAGGCACCTAAATTATAGGATTTATTACATTATTTTGTTTATTTTATATATTCATATAATTTAACTTAATTTTAATTTTATTTATTTACATAATTTATAAGGAATTATAGAATTTAATATTACGTAAAGATAATTTTCGACCAACGAAATGAAATATCTTATTAAATATTGGATTCAGAGTAAATAATTATTTGTTTTACTGTATTTCAGATTTTATTTTCTGAAAACAGTTTTACATACGAATAATAATACAGATAAATATGGTGAAACAATTCTTAGATAGAAATATACAACTCAATATGACGGCGCGATTTTCACGGAAAAAATGGTGCAATTATGTCGAAGTAATTACTTCAAGAAAAACTCTACATCTTCTCTTTTGTATATCCGTGACCCGGAGACCTCTGTTACGAAGAGAATAGAATTTAGTGAAAAAGATTGAAAATAAGGAGAGGTCCGTATTATTGTGTCCTTGAATATAAATTTTCTTTTGGGTCACAAGGTCTGGAAACAAAAGAACTATAGGTAGATTTCTATCGCTGTTTCTTGTAGCCTTCAGCTAGAACTACGCATCAAGGTTAACTTTTTGCTAATGTCCTTTGCCATAAATATATGAACATGCTCCCTATCATCCTTCTTCTATTGTATCGTAACACTGAAAGAATGAGAATCTGGATCAGCATACATTATACTTATACCTTTATTTATTTCAATATATCGTTTTACTACAAATGCATCCACTCGTTCCTTTATCAGTCAACCTCGACAATTTAAATTCACCATATTGTACTTTATTAATTATTCGATTAACATTCGTTCGTCGCTAGCAGTAAAATCACTTGCAAATCATATTGCCTTTAACTGTATATTCTCTGTGTTCTGTTACGCTATGTCTTCCCACGAACCATACATAATTCTTCAACAGAACGATCTTTCCATCAAAATCTAATGAAATAGTCGTTTAATTGTTTAGGTTGATCATCTCGCTGTGCACAAACACCCATATAGAAACAGTGTACTTTGAACAGGTACTTCGTTGATGAACATGACAGCAACGAGAAACGATAGGAAATTGCGGTGAAAAAATATGTCGTATACGACTCTCTGCATAGAAACACGTACATATCAGCAGAGAATAAGTTGGAACGGGTGCAATTGCTAAGTTGTCGCGTGTCATTCGTATACGGTACACAACATGCCTGAACAAACTTCACGCACGAACCAAACACGATGAAATCTGCTACTCCGGATGAAAATTTACGACGAAAGTTAACCGTAGCAAAACTGTAGAATCTGCTCGGTGCCGAAGAAGTTTAGGGATCGGAAGCGGAAATTGTTGGAACCGATGACTCGATTTGCCGGTCAGTATCGAGCGAATAGCGCATTGGTTCTGGACGGTTCGCGCGCAAACAGTGCGCACGCCTGTTCGTCGATGCGGTGGCGAGCAAAACCACGATGCAGCCGGCAGACCGAACGACTTGGCCGAAGTTGCAAACTACGGATTGCATCGCCGTTGCGGTCGCCGCCAGCTATACCAATTTAATTGCGAGTAACGCCCCGCGTTCGCCCCCGTTTCACCGCCGGAAATTTAATAGCTGTATCGCTCGGCCGATTGCGCGCGTGAATCACTACGATGCCCTGTTTTCCCGCGGCTGTTTCCTCGCTACGAGGCTGTTCGACGCGCTTTTTAACGAGTTGATTACCCAGCTCGATAACGATAATCGCCGTTTTATCGCTTTGTTTTTAATAGTCCCTTGTCGGGGACAATGTTTTTAGCACGTTTCGCGTCGAACGGATTGGACGGAAAGGAGTTTAAAATAATTTCGATTCGTCGTAAATGGAATTTGATGCAGTTGTGCGTTCTTACGGGCACAGGGGAAGGAACGAAAGTTAAACGGAGATTCGTTTCGCCGTTTGAATATTGCAAGATAGACACTTTTGCTCGAACGTCGTGGGAAACGATGTTTAACGTTTCATTTGTGGATATTATTAACATTCTGTACGTTTGTTACGTATTTTGAAATTCTTATCGGCGTACAGATAAATCAGCGTAGTTGTAAGTATTAAACATTTTTGGAGAAATCAATTATTGTTATTGATTTTGATATTGATACGATGTAAATGTAAAGAGATTTTCAAGAACGCAAAATTAAGAGAATTTAATTGGAAAAAAATAATAAGTACGTCGTGGGTTTGTTAACGTATCGCCTTTTTCTTGTCTGCTTCGTCTCTCTTATCTCTGTCTTATTATCAGTCTTGTTTAAACGGTATAGTGAAAAATAGCTTCTTTCGTCCACCAGAGTTGCGGTTCTGTCAACCACGATAAGAAAGAATTTGGTTTTTTATCGAATTAAGTATACTTTATATATGAGGAAGATAGTAATGAAATGAAACATACAATAAACGAATAATAATTGTCCAGATATTAAAAATTGTTTTTCTAAAGTATTGAAACAAGGTATCTAGCCTGTCTCTTCTTAAGTTTATTTTTCAGAGCATTGAAAATGTAGGAAGCTTGTTTCCTTCTCAGCACAGCTAAATGAAGGTTCTTGAAAACCTCGAAAGTAAATTTAATCAAGAATAAGGAAAATTTACTTCTTTTATCGTATGCTTTTTAATCTTCTTCTCATAAATTTTATATTTGGAATTTCTTCCCCATGATTTTTAATATTTTGCGTGCTTTCTTCACCGATGACCATCCAATTTCTTTTGAATTATCTTTAGATCAATTGTTATACTCTGGAAATAGTATCATCGTCGTCTTCTTTTTTTTTTTTTTTTTTTTTTTTTTTTTTTTTTTTTTTTTTTTTTTTTTTTTTTTTTTTTTTTTTTTCTTTTTCTCTTCTTCGCTATGTCCACTTTCATTTCCTACCTTTCCTCGCTCCTGTCCCGTTTACTCTTTCTCCATGAGAAAGATCGTCGCCTAGGGAAAAAAGCTAGGTCACCGTTTAAGGAATTGGTTTTCAAGCTCGTTTAAAATTCTTCTCGAGGAAATACGGAATTAAGGGTCATGGAGTAATTTAACGAACACGTTGATCGATATAGTCAGTTATTTAACGCGAAGCTCATCATGGAAAGATAAGAATCGCCCTATATCTGCTGTCTTATTCCTTTTTATGTTATTTTTTATAAGATCACATTACTCTTTAGTTCAAAAAATACCACTTCAGATTAGAAATTCAAGATTTGAAAATTAAACTTCGAAACGTTTGAGAACTGTACAATTTAAATATTCAAATATCCAAATATTCAAATGCTCAAATATTCAAAGATTCAAATACACAAATATCCAATATTCAAAGATTTAAATATCCAATTTCAAATATTCAAAGATACAAAGATACAAAAATTCAAATATTCAAAGATTCAAAAATTTAAATATTCAAAGATTCCAATTTCAAATATTCAAGGATACAAAGATTCAAAGATTCAACGATTCAACGATTCAAAAATTCAAATGTTCAAAGATGCAAAGATTCAAAGCTTCAAAGATTCAAATATCCAAAGATTCCAATTTCAAATATTCAAGGATACAAAGATTCAAAGATTCAACGATTCAACGATTCAAAAATTCAAATGTTCAAAGATGCAAAGATTCAAAGCTTCAAAGATTCAAATATCCAAAGATTCCAATTTCAAATATTCAAGGATACAAAGATTCAAAGATTCAAAGATTCAAAGATTCAACGATTCAAGTATCCAAATATTAAAATTTCAAATATTCAAGGATACAAAGATTCGAAGATTCAAAGATTTAAAGATTCAAAGATTCAAGTATTCAAAGATTCAAAGATTCAAAGATTCAAAGATTCAAAGATTCAAAGATTCAAATATTCAAAGATTCAAAGATTCAAAGATTCAAATATTCAAAGTCTAAGGGGTTCAAAGATTTAAATATCCAAAGATTCCAATTTCAAATAATCAACGATACAAAGATTTAAATGTTCGAATATTCAAAGATTCAAAGATTCAGAGATTCAAAGATTCAAAAATTCAAATATTCCTATTTCAAATATTCAAATATTCAAATATTCAAATATTCAAAGATTCAAA